TTTATGTACTAACCGATCGGGCAAAATTACCCCTTATCTATTCTTTGAGGAGTTAAGTCACGTCCCCCCTCCTAGTGGCTATTAATAAATATTTTCTTTTCTTAAAAATGGGCATAAATAAGTATGGTTAATATGGTGATTGTGTGGCGGCTAGAAATAGACGGGGTTTCGATTAGGGGTGCAACTTGATTTGACCCGAGTTCATAATTTACATTGCTTTAGGTTTGGATTTATTCAAATTTTGACAAAAGATCAACCAAAATCTGGAGACATGGCAAAAGAACATATGAAAAGAAAAACTAGTGGTGGTAGAAGTATCATAAAAAAGTAGTTGGAATCAATAGAAATATTAGCAATGTATTGGAAGTGGGAGCACACCCTCGACTTACAACATCCTAGGAACTTTGTGTCTAGTCGAAAAAAGGCTGGAACTTGCAAAGCTATAGTTGATTCAACAATTAGTCTAGTTTGCTGTGATGCTGACCTTGAACGTAAAAGATTGCGACCAATGAGAGGGCTTGATTTAGAATATTTTTATGAGGGGTAAAATGGGTATTTTGGGTCTAAATTTTGGTATATGTCAATTAGGAGGTTAAGGTTTTGATGTGTTTGGAGGTAGGGGTGCTCACAGTTTGGGTAACCGAACCATAGGCCTTTTTTTGGACTAAACCGTAGTATCAGTTTTTGGAAAATCAGTAACCAAAACTGAACCGAAACCAGTCGGTTAACCAATTGATCGGTTCAGCTAACCAATGGTTTGGTTCATCGGTTTTTTGGTTTTTTTGGCTTTATAATATTTATTATAATAATATATAAATATATAATAAAAAATTATAAATATATAAATTATTATATTTTAAATAATATGTAATATATAATATATTATAAATGTACATTTATATATATAATGTGTATTTATTAATTTATAATATATAAAATACATATAATATATATATAATATACAAAATATATACAAAAATATGTATACCAGTCGGTTCGGTTAACCGTCAGTTTTTTAAATTGGTTAATCAAAACTGAATCGATACCTTCGTCTTTTTAAAATCACCAAACTAAAACCAGTTTTCGACCGGTTCAGTTTTTTAGGTTTTTATGCTCACCCCTATTTGGAGGTGTTAGATTATGTGTTACGACGAAGATCTTGAATTTAGAGAGTGATAGCTGATAAGGTGGTCTATTTATTATCTTTTATATGAAGGGTGGAATGGTCATTTTGAGATGTGAAATTTGATGGATGGTCAATTGGGAGGTTAGAGGAAGTTTTGATCATGTCAAGGATATTTGGATCATGGGTTTAAGTCGTAGCATCTGGTTCATCAAAATGGAATCTTTGATGGGTAGATGGCAAAATCAAGGAATTTAAGGCTGAAATTTAGTGTGAATGGCTGTTTAGAGGTTTTGTTTCATATGGTGGGGCTTGGCCATGTGATCAGTGTGGTGATGGAGTACAATTGGAACCATCGGAAGGGAATCATGTAGATTTGATGGTGGATTTAAGAGTATTTGAGCCAAGATTTGGTTTCTTGGGGTATTGATATGTTCTAGAGAGAATGGTAGGGTCTGATCGAGCATCTAAAATGTGAGAAGAGGGTTGGACAGAGGACCAAGGAAAAATTGGGTGCTCTTTTTATTTTTTAATTTGGTTTCTTGGGGTATTGCCAAGTTGGTTATAGGGCGGGGTCAGCTTCTAATCTTGCGCTTTCCTCTTGTAATGAACTTGGATGTGGGCCCAAGCCCACTAAACTAAAGTTATTTTTTAATTTCTTTTGCCAAGGGTCTTTGTTTTCTTTCCCTAGTATGTTCTCTTTTGTGATTTAATATGCATATGGATACACTATGAAAATTAATATAAATCATATATATAATTTGATGATTATTTGAAGCATGTGATCCTCGAGAACATACTTGGGAAACAATGAAAAATTGTTGAGGAACTAAAAATATGAATGCGTATTTTAATTCTTACAAAATTAATATTATTTTTATTACTATTTATAAATTATATAGATTTTAATAATCAATTAATTTTCTTTAACCTTTTGATAGACATACTCTAAGAAGAGGAAATGTTTAATGATTAAAATTCAAAGCCTATATAATTATGACTATTAGGTAAAAAGTATGGTGTAATATATAGCAGATTTGTTATCTTTCAGCTTGAAGACATTGGTTCCAATCCTCTTGTCATTTTTATACAACACAAATTATAGGGTACCATGGCTTTAGAATTGGTAATCCTGTTCCCAACCCATTTGACCCACCTATATCCACCCATTCTAGTGAGGGTCAATATGGATCGAGTGACCCATTAGGGTCAGGGTGGGGTTGGGTCGAGGGTTACCCTGGATCACTTTCTTAGGGTTGAGGGGAAATTAGATAAAACAAAAATAAAAGGATTTATGGTTCTATTGGTCTCTCATCTCTCTTCTGCATCTTGTTTTCTTTGTCATTCTACATTCTCTTCACAACAAGCATTACATATATGACGAAGCAAGATTGAAAGTATTAAAAATACAATTTAAAGAGGCTTAACAAATATGATTTAGGTACATATGGATATGGTGGAAAATATAAAATGCACGGATACACTCTAATGATTAAGGCCATACAATGTAAAGTACGGTTTAATATAAAAATATATAGCAGATTTGTTATCTCTCTTTATCAATCTTCTTCTTGGTTTCTCAAAAAAGAAAAACAAAATCCCATTTTGCTCAATCGTTTGATCCAGAACTTACACTGTAAACATGGTGTTTTCTGGTTATCCAATTTTTTCAGAAATATATAATTTGCACAATTTTATGTAACTTTCCTGTAATTTCTTTTTTGTTTTGAAAAATATATGTTCCTCAATTTTTTTTCTTCTGTTTTGTGTTTTTGATGGATATGATGTATATACACTTGATCAAGTTTTTGCATTTATTTTTCAAATTTCAGAAACTTTTGCATTTTCCTATCTTATTGTGTTCTTCTATAATTTCCAATATTTTTATAATTTTTGTTTTTTTTTGCAATTTCTGTTTTGTTCTTTTTATACATTTTCTGTAGTTTTTGTTATTTATTTGCAATTTCTATGTTTTTTCTATAATTTTGCTATATTTGGTAATTTCTGTTGTTTTTTCTGCAAATTTTGTTTTCTTCAATTTTTATATTTAGTTTTTTGCAATTTTTTGTATTTTTTTACAACTCTTTTGCATTTGTTCGATTTTTTTTTTCTGCAATTTATTGCAATTTCCTGTCTTTTTCTGCAATTTTTTGTCTTACATGAAATATATGTTTTTTTTCCATTTTATTTGTTTTTATGCATTTTTATTTTTATTTAAAAAATGAACGTTTTATATCTTTTAAGTTGAAAGATATAGTTCTATTCTTTTATACAATTAGAATAGAGAAAAAGTATAAAAAAATCTATTTTGAATTAAAGGGTCAAATGGGTGGGTCAGGGTTAAAGAGGGTTATGACCCACTAACATGGGTGACAAATGGGTTATTGGGTCAATATGGGTGGGTTGGTACTCAATCCACACCCAACCCAACCCAACCCACCAATTTGTCACCCCTAGGGGTGAGCAAGAAAAACAAAAAAACTGAACCGAAACGAAACTAAACTAAAAATTCTGGTTAACCGAACCAATGAATCTATCAGTTTGGTTTTGGTTAACCAAACTGACCGGTATACATATATTTATATATATTATATATTAGAAATATTTATAATATAAAATATATTATTTGTTATTTATAATATAATAATACATGGTTTTCAAAATCGGACTGGATCGGACGATTGGACCGGAAAACCCAGGAAGTGACCGGTTCTGTTTTTCCCCAAAATTGGATTTTTGCCAAAAAATGTTGATTTGGTCAGCAAACTGCTGACCCAGGCAGTTGAACCATTTGAATCATTCAAYGGTTTTGACCGTTTTTTATTTTTTATTTATTTTTTGTCAGAATGCAACTGTTCAGTTTGAACAATCGGACCGTTCGACACGGGAACCAGACCCCTGACTGGTTCATTGTCTAGGTCGATTTTAAAAACCTTGTAATAATATATATATATATATATATATAGTCTTTTTATAATATAATATCATATTTTAAATTTATTATATATAGTATTATAAAAATAAAAAAACGATGAACCAAATGATGGTTAACTGAACCAATCGACTGGTTAACTGATCAGCTTCAGTTTTGTTTTAGTTACCGATTTTCCAAAAACCGGTACCACTGATTCAGTTTAAAGAAAGGCCCACGGTTCGATTAAGGGACCGTGAGCACCCCTACATGACTTAAACTTTAAATTTTGGAGTCAAATGATGCCATTCCACCTGTGCTCAATATAGCCTAACCTATAATCCAAACCGATATGTGTAGACGGAATTCAATCCTAAGTCTCTGCTACAACTAGGAGGAGTAGCACCTTGCGACTGCACTAATTAATTGAGTTCACATCTGCGCCCCACAATGCCCCATAGCACATCCTGCCCTTGTATTGGGAATATCTCCCGATTAATTCCCCCATTTTCATTCACAGGCAAAAAGTATAATGTCAGTGGAATATTGGGTGCTTTTAAAACCAATTTGTGCAACGCACAGATCCCTTGCAGTTATATCATCCGAGTTATTTTTAAGCATAGATACGGCTGTGCAGTATACATATGGATATTGCATGGTAACAACTATTCAGCCTTGTCTCCATAGAAAACAGTAAACCTAAACGTCCACAATTTGTCATTAGTGGATAATCTAGTGATAGAGGAAGAAAGGTGGAAACACTGAGCATTTCCATTCCTTTCAAATGGTATTAGGTAAGAAATACCCAAAAGGTTTTCATTTCAGCCAACAAGCAGCCCCGTTGAGACAGCCAGTAGCTCCCAAACGCTACCCTTATTTCAATGTCTTGTATGGTCATTCCTGATGTCCTTCTTTCACGTAATCAGGAAGAAATGAACAGATTGTCATCATGGAATCACATAAAAAGAAACAAAAGTCACTTTCTTAAAATTCACATATTAACATGTACAAATCCCTCATTAGGAAATTGTTTCTTTCTTTCTTTCTGTTCTTTTTTTCTTTCATTTTTTTTTTGAAAGGAAAATGTTTTTGTTGTAACATAAACAACAAACAATATGAACGTAACAACAAGAATATTAATGTCGTTTGGAAACTCATAAAATATAGGGATCTACTGGATGGTTCCTCCAGCTATGGATGCCACTTTACAAATACCTGCTGATGTGGTAAAGGGAACATTTTTGTAATGAGCCACTAGCTCAGTATCAGTGTGCAGATCTACCTGTATCGTTTCCCAGACTTTCTTCTTAGGGTTGAGAACATCATCAGGTTCACCATGGAACCCAGGAAATGTAATTCTCTCTCCCACAGGAGCAGACTGAGGCGGGTCTACCAATTCAACCTGGTGAAAGAAAACACCAATGTACAGAAGATGCAATTAGCAGTTACATTTCAGACAATGATAGGGGTGACAATTCTTGAATCTTGATTCAACATGGATCATAACACCCAATTTGTTAACTATCTCCCTCTCTCTAATGGGTGCAACATGTGCGACAGGTAAATTTAGATACTCTAAATGGGCGCTTAATAGTTTGATGGGTTAAATGGGTGAACAGGAGCTCAAACTGCCCTATTACCACCCCTATCTTCTAGATATACCAATCATATTAATCAATCTAGTATTAGCTTCTACATCTCTTGTATTTTAAATATAAGTTGTATGGATGGATGACTGATACAAAGAAATATTTAGCATATTGTTAAATGCCCATCCAGTTGTTGACTTCTCTTGAGATAATACATAACAATGGTAGATATCAAAAGATAACATACACTTGGAATTTAAGAACCTGTATTTGTCTTACTGAATCTAGTTTTGTGTGAATCATAAGAAAAGTAATAAACCAAGAGAGATGAAGAAGAAAAGGGGAGAAGAAAGGAAGAGAGAAATTTGGAAAGCCAAAAGTTTAGGTGACCATCTCAACAAGAAAAATAAATAAAGAAAAACAGCACCAACAAAGAAAATAACTCAAGAAATTAACCATCTCAACACTCTCCCTCAAGCTGGGCATATATTTTAATCATATCCAGCTTGCCCAAATCAGTTTCTAGTATTAAGTTATTAACTTCTCAACCCCTTTTGCAAACACATCAGCCAATTTCATCTCAGAAGTAACAGCAGGAAGAAAAATTTGTGTAGATACTCTTTCATGAATGAATCCCTTCCAAATCATGGCCATTAGGGAAGGGATTCAAAAGGCTAAAGAGATGAATATCAGAAAGTTGTTAATTGAAGGTGATCCGAAACTTGTAATTAGCTGATTCCGAAAAGAGGATGGTTGGTGGTGTTACATATATGAGAAGGGGAAAGTTATTAAATTGCTACAAGGGGTAGAGGTGATTTGTAATTGAGTTAGAAGAGATACTAATGTCTTTTATGATATGTTTGCTAAACATGGGGTGGGAAGGAATAGTGTCAGTCCACTTCAATATGCTTAATCCTATCCATATAGGACTGTGATCTTAGCTCTGCTTGTGAGAAAAACTATATCCAAATGATTGAAAAAGTTTTGGTTTTCCTCCTGTGTGACTTTACCATAAATAAGAAACTCTCCCACCTTCTCCCATTTTAAGTATAACTTTGTTATTTATGCTAACGTCAATAATCATTAGCTGATATAAACTCTCTTCCAGAGGATGATAAGAAAAATAGAACCATCATGCTTCATGAGATTTTTTTTATGAATAACAAGAAAAAAGTATTGAATAATCACATGGCAGTGAGGTAATGAAAACCCAAATGCTATGTTGCTAATTAGAAGTTTTTTTCTTTTGATGAATACTAATTAGAAGATTATTTTATTACTTACTTTCGTGTGATCATTGTTGGAAGCGGCGAGAACCATTGCTTGTGATTTGACACCTCGCATGGTCACTGGCTTGAGGTTGCAAAGAACACAGACTCTCCGGTTCTGTCCATAGATAATATTGGTGCTTACTCATAGATGATTAAAATGAAAAAAAAAATATTGAAAGCATTGAAACAGTATAGAAACAAAAGGCAGAATTTTGACTAATGCCAGTATCAAGGTGAAGAGGAGAACAAAAGAACCTGCATTTCTTCAAGAGGAATGTATTTGACAAGGCCACTAACAACTGTTCTTGGAGATCCTTCACCCACATCAATCTCTTCCACATAAAGGGAATCAGCATTTGGATGTTTCTGAACCTTTTTTATGAGACCAACACGGATATCAAGCCTACTGATGGAAACGACTTCAGCAGTTGCCTTTAGTTTGGCTACAACTGTAGATTTGTTTGGTCTTTTTTTGTCATCACCATCTGTTGGAAAAATGTTGAAACTTCATCCAAGTACCCAAAATAAAAGCTGAAAACAAACTGTCAAAACTTTTTTCCCAGAGGAAGTTTCTGTATTTATGTATGTGGCTGTTCATTACATGTACCTTAAAAATCTACCACATATACTGAAGGCCATTACTATTCATGTATGTCAATATAATACATAGCTTTCACTATTCTGCCCATGTATTACCTTCTTTTACATGAAGAACTAGTTCAAATCACGAAATTTGAACTGGTTCAAATCCCTTTTACTTGCTCATCCTAGATCCTTTACATCTGTAATATGTTTGTGAATAATTATGTTCTTTTCTAATTTTAGGCATGAAATCCAATGTATCACTAAATCTTCTAATGATGTAATCATTATGCAGAAAATAATTTTCAAACATTGCAAACACAGGATAGTTCAACATGGGCATCCGTATCTGGTCACATGAATTATAAGACAGCAGATATTTCAACATGCCTAAGATGCCAAGACAGGCATGGACAGAGTAACCAATGATGAATCCAATTTTTGAGATCCAGGAGACATAGGAATACAATATTACTATCCAATTTAATAAGCTGACATCATACTTTTTAGCTTTTTGCTTAAGCTAATTGTCATTTTTGATAATGAATTTTCATTAAGCTTATATCATCTTTAAATTTTCTATATTATTTATTAAAACAGACCATTTCAGAAGTGTTGACTTTATACATTCTAGGAATGTCCATGCAATATCTGGTATCACATTAGAAACACATTTTATCCAACACAGGGATCTCGGAATCATGGCAGCTTGCTTAGCATACTCCATACAAATAGAACAGATTACTGATTCTAACACTAGATACAAGGATACTTCTCTAGTGGGTGGAACTTCTTCAACATCAGAGGTGCAACTAATCTAAATTGTTTAAAAGCTAAATTTAGAAGCATATAACCACATATTGGATGGGAACAAGCATTCCCATCCATATCCTGGATATATAAGGGACAATGAGATTTATTCCATTTCTTGTTTTAGACTATTGGTATATATTTAGACATTTTAGCTTATGCAAATAAATAAAGCCATCTCCACTCCCCAAGAATGAGTGAGAATAGCATAGAGAAGTGACAAGGGCTACCAATAACATATATGCAAAGATACAAGTATCACTAATAAAACCCTATCTTGGGGGGTGTTGAGAAGAGTGATATTTTATGTCTATATTGGTGGCAGGGTAGATTAGGCAATTTAGCTTATGAAGGACACTCCAGTCCAGAATTGATCATAAACAGGGTTATTTATGTAAATCTCCTTTTTATCAGGTTAATATATATAGTGGGCCAACCGCCTAAGGAGGATTAAGCTTTCTAATCCTCTCCTAATCAGATCAGCAGTTCTTTTCCTTTAACATCTTCTTCTCTTCTCTTCTACTGTTTCCCTTCTATTCTCTTATCTTGTTTTTCTGTTGTCTTCACTTTACTGGTTTGCTGCAATATACCAAATTTACTTTTTTTTTGAAGAGTAAAGAAGAAAAATTTTATCAAATAAAAAGAAACTTGTAATGTTTTACTTTCAAGTCCATCTCTCTATTGCAACCTAAATTTGAGGTGTCAAAACTTGTAATGTTTGACTTGATTTACTACATATATTTTATTTTAATTATATAATCCATGCTCGGATCACCCTTTTGGAAAAGGCTAGATGATGATGATGTATAAAATAGTCATAAAATGAAATAATCTGGACTACATTAGTCAGCTCAATAGGCCTTTCAGAAATTATGGTGTTTGCTTCCAACTTGTTTACATATTCACTAAGACAAAATTTGGTAAGTAATTAAGGGGGTGTTTGGCAAATCTTTCTGCATGGTCTTTCGGGCTTCTCAAAACTTGAAAGACCAAAATTTGGTCTTTTTCCATTTGGCAATGAAAGATTGAAAGCCGGAAAGACTCATGCCCTAAAAGGGTCACGGAATCCCAAAATGATTGAAAATCAAAGAAGCTTCAAATGGAGCTTCCTGTCTTTCCACCCATATAATCTTTCGTTTAACAGCCTGGTAGACCAGGATACTTAGCAAACACTTTAAAGACAAGACCCCAAAAGCTTATTACATCTTTTAGCCATCTGGGCTGTTGAAAGATCTTCCTAAAAAGGCTTGCCAAATGGCATCTATAAGTTTCCACAAATTCAGCAGTTACTGAACCCTCAGAAAGTTCTAAGGATCTACATACTTGAGTTGGACAAATTATTTGTTTGTCTTTGCTAGAACAGACTTAAACTCATGGACCATGGACCTTTTTTGGAATTGGGTATGTGGGTGTAAGATTTTACGCCCATGAGCCATATGCAATATTTTCAAGCCTTTCTAACCTACCAAGACAACTGAATTCTTTACATACATTCCAAGTTGTGAAGATTTTGAAATTATTTTAGATTTTTTTATGAATATGGAAATTATTTTGATCACATAAAAAGAAAAGAAAAGGTGAAGTTATTACCTGAAACTTTGGTTTTCTTCAGTTGCTCAGCAACCTTGTTTGCTTCAGCCTCTGCCTTCAAAACCCTATCAGCTTGACTTCCAGCAAACTTCTCCCTAAAGAACTCCACCTCTTCATCTTTCTGTACAATAAACAAGATTCAGAAGATCAGCAGCCTGAATAAGACCAAAATGCCATCATGCAGAACAAGAATAGAACAAGAGAATACAGAAAGTTAACAGTAAAAGATTTATACCAATTCCTTAAATAGTGGTGAAGGCACCCCTATCTCATGACCAGCAGGTAAAATCTCCCAAGGTCTTCTTGCATTGTCCAGATCTCCTTTCTCATCACAAAGTGAAAGTTGTGTTTTAGGCCAGTTAAGCTGCTTCAAAACCTTAAATGTTGGCACAAAAAGAGATACCTCAGAATGGATAACTGCAGTAAATATGTAAAATACCTAAAATAATATAATCAACAATTAAACATTAAAGAAGTGTTTTCTCTACACACAGTCTACTTGGTATAAAAGTGACAAAATACCTCAACAGAAAAAGATGGCATGAAAGGTTCCAATAGAGATGCAAGAAGATACACTAGACCAACTGAAGTTCTCATAACAATGGAACAGGAACATTGATCATCTTTGTAGAGCTTCCAGAACTGGCTATCCTATTTACCATTTAAAAACTAATTAACATACAGTGACGATTAATAACTAACCCACTGATCAATAATAATAAAAACTAAAAAGTTCCTTAAACAGAAAGGTGTAGGAACGTTAAGAAACTTACTTGCAGATAAGAATTTCCTTCACTAGAAATGCTCATTGCAATTTTAAGACCTTGTTTTAATTTGACCTATGCAAAACATTTTTCTATTAAGCAAAATCCTTCTGAGGAAATGAACTAAACAAAGGAAACGGCATATTTTATAGATGCATTCATTTACCTTCTCCATTGATTCCACATATTGCTCAACTAGTTTACCAACTTTTTCTGCTAATATCTTGGTTAACTCATGAGTTTCTGCATCTGGAGCATCAGGAATGATGGAAGCATATCCTAGGCCTGCAGAAGCCAGAATATTAACAAGAACTGTATCGACACACATTTTGCACTAGGACAAGTTTATGAGAATCAAGAACAAATATGAAGTTACTTGTTTTTTCCAGAAAAAGCCATTGAAAAAAAAAATGAGAAACAAATGAAGTAAAACTAGTGTTACTTTTATAAGGAGCAGAAACATGAAACAAGTAATTTATTGAATCATACAAGAAACAAACAATCCAGTCCAAGTATTTATCATTGATGTGTTAGTGTAGACTGTTTTTTTTTTTATCAGAAAAGATTTCATTAAACATTAAAGATTAAACTTAGTACAACTGTTGGAGAATTCCAACACCCCTTGGTAACAAAAGTTTACAAGTTTGCCCAGAATAGATTTGGTCTGTCAACTCTCTGATTAACTAGAACATCTGCTACCCCAGTTGCAGCTCTTCTCACCCAGCTGAAATTTGAATTTAATTGTTTTGCAGTGACATCATTTCCCTAAAAGCATGTCTATATTTCCAAGGTGCTGCTTTGAGTTGCTTTGCCCATTGAATTACTAGTTCTGAGTCACCTTCAACTTCCAAATCTCCGAGTCACCTTCAATGTGTACACCTGTTTGCACTACTTAAGACCAAGTTCTAATAATGTCATTGACTGAGAAAACTCTGAATAGATCCAATGTTTTTACCCAGTGTGCAGCTCTCACTAAGATAGCTTCCGTTAGCTCCGCCTTAGACCTGCTCTTCTCACTGAAAATTCTATTGTTCCTTTCTTCCCAAATCGACCATACCAGGGTTGCTGTTACTGTCCTCCACATGGTCTTCCCTCTCTTCTTTTTTTCTAAGGATAAAGATGGAATTTTATTAAAAGAAAAAGGAAAAATAGATACATCAGAAAGGTGATAAGATATCACCAGAGGAAGAAAAACAACCTCAAAACCCCATAATGACCCAAAACCCCACAACTTACAAACATAAAGATTTACCCAGCCAATTCCGAGCGAAGCTCAAGGAATAAACCCAATACAAATCCCCATGGATACAAACATCACCAGCCCATCAACTGACCAGAAGCAAAATCCCTCCCTGTATAACCACCAAGTCTTCAGTCTTCAACCGTGAGCATATCCTCCTGGATTGAGTCATCCTCATCCCATATCTTGCTTCCTTCCAGATGGACTTTGTTATTTGATATCTCTTCTCTTTTTCTTCTTTCAAATTCCTCAAAGGCCTTTTAGCAACCTCCTCATCACCCCAGAAAAACAGACCCAGGCTCTTCCCTCTCTTTTCCTTGAACCTCGGGAAGTTTGGGTTCAATAAACTTGCCACTTCTTGTGGAGGGGCCATCTGCAACCAAAGAAACAACAGAAATATTCCCAAATGCAAAACATAAGAGGATGGGAGATTGACAAGTGAGGAATGGTTTCACCACTAGCCATACAAAGAAAATTGAGCCTCTTTTTCTGTAGCATGTCACAAGTGCTGATTCTACCAAGGAACACTTCCCAACACAGAGGTTGTAATTTAGGTGGGACATGTTTACACTAGATTTCCTTTAATGGACCCCCCCACCGAAGTAGAGTGATTTAAAAGGTTAAAGAAGGAAGAACAAGAGAACAAACCATTAGAGGATGGGGTCCATACCCTAACATTGTTCCAAAAAAACAGTTTCCAAAGAAGAAAGCAAAGAAGTGAGTGACTCACATTCATTGTCCCTAAGGCCCCTCCTAAACCCGAAGTCCAATTGATCCCAGTTGGAGAGGTTACACCAAACTTGGAAATAGGTTCAAAGTTATAAGTTGAAAGGGAGTGATTTGTTGGATATTGTTGGCAAAGGGGCATATCACCATCCCAAAGATCCTCCCAAAAATGTATTTTATTCTCACAACCCACATCAAACCGAATAGAGAAGGAAGGGAGTACCTTTATTATTACTTTTCATGGGGATTTTGAAGATGTATGTGAGTCAGACTTTACATCCCAGCAATTCTCTCCTAATCCATAGCCACTTCCATAGCAGAGCCGCATTCCTCTTGATCAGATTCCCTATTCCTAATCCACCCTGCTCCTTAGATTTACATGTTCCCATTTTATCAAGTGATCCTTCCTTTTATCCCCTGGTTCCCAAAGGAAATCCCTTATAATCTTTTCTAGCTGCCTAGCTATTTTGACCAGGATCCTAAAGGTGGACAGGTAGTAGATAGGCATATTTGCTAATTTGGACTTAAGTAAAGTTATTCTTCCCCCCAAAGAAATGTAACTCCTTTTCCACAGAGCCAGTTTTTTACCAATTCTTTCTAGGATAAGTTTCCAAAAACTTTTTGATCTTGGGTTTCCCCCAACGGTAGGCCAAGGTATTCTAGGGGCCAATTCTTTCACCTCACATCCAGAATTCCTGCCAATAACTGAATGCGTCCCTCTTCCATATTGATTCCTACCACACGACCAATTCACTTTAGGACTTGAAATCCTTTGGAATTATTGACCAAGTCCCTTAGATTTCCTATTCTCTCCTTATTACTGTCTTCATAGAAAATTATTATGTCATCTGCAAACTGTAAATGAGAGATAATCATATCATTTCTACCTACCCTCCAACCCCTGATCAGATTGTCCAAATCACCCTTGATCATTCCACTTCGGACTTCAGGAATTATAGTGAACAAGAAGGGGGATAAGGGACCTCCCTGTCTCAAACCTTGTTTTGCTGGGAAAAAAAAGCATCTAGCAAGCCCATTTATCAGGATTGAGAATAAAGGTTAAGGTATTGTTGCACATCTCATTGTATCATAAGATACATATTGGTTTTCAAGTCATCGATGTGCTAAATACAAGACTTTAACAACACATGGCTATATTCAACAATTAGTAACCTTCCCTGAGATGGCATGGTTCAAAGCTTGAAAGCTGAAACAATTTTATTATTTTAATCTGTGAGTATTGCCCCCTTTGAATCACATGATAAAAAATTGCATATTGCACATATCAATACTTGGAACCATGATTGAGAAATGTACTGAGCTAATACATCCTCTTATCCAGTTCCTCCATCTCTCCCCCAACCCTATCTTCTCTAACAAACCAAGAAGAAAGCCCAATCCACCATGTTAGAGATCTAAGATGGTTCATTAGTAAGATTTCAATGAAGTTCTTTCATCATTAAAACTGTCTCTTGAAATTAAAATGCAAATTTACATATAATGCCCAAATCAGATACATTTAGTTGATTAAGTTTGTTTTTGGCAAGGAATAGTGTTAGTTGAGACCCATTATTGGTTGGTTCTGATTCTTGAACAAGGGGTAGGTGGAAAATTATAGGGGGTCCCAAATCTGCCCACAAGCCTTTTGTTGTAGACCCAACACGCTCCCTTTTGATAACATAAAATTGTCTCTTGCTGTATATTTATATAATAAATTAAAACACATTGATGGGTCAATTATATTTCAGAAAAACATGTCTTTCTGATTCTATATACAAATAGCAACAAAAGAGGAGGAATAAAACATAAAAATACAGGGCCATATGAAAAGTAGAAACAGAGCTGAAAATTTTCAACTTCTATAATAATCCCAGGCACAATTCAAATTATAAATGCTTCTTATATCAGTTTTACTATCTTAAGCTCTAGTGCTTAAGACATAAATACCAAGACAATAGCAACAATAATACATGGAAATAGAATTCAGATTCAGTCTTTAAAACAATTAAATAAGCTAGCTGACTATATTAGTATTTAGTAAGACAGAAGACCTATTGAACTATGCACAGCCTTAAATTAGAACAGTACCAGTCTCATTCCATAAGAATGAAATTCACTAACCTTGAGGCTTGACTATGAAGCTCAACACTCGATTAATAAAATTTCCCAAATTATTAAGCAATTCACTGTTGAGTTTGGCTTGCAGGTCAGCCCAGGTGAATAATGTGTCTGATACCTACATAATATCAAACCTTTAGAAAATAGTGACAAAACAAATTACAGAGACCAATACAGAAAACATGACCTTAGTTCTTCAAACCACCATGGATACCATATAACAGACTTACCTCTGGCCTATTTGTTAGTAAGTAATATCGCCACACTTCTGCAGGAATTTTTGTATCCTTTGCATCATTACCAAAAACTCCCACTCCCTTACTTTTAGAGAACTTTCCTGTAAGATTTGAACAAAATAAGTCTCAATTCTCAAATATAGATATATCATCCAAGATCCAATTCTTACAAGGCTGATCACTCTTTTTCTTAGATTAATAGCAAAACACCTCACTGAAAGTATTTCAGTACCCAGATATTATAATATTATAAAATTGAAAATTTTCAGGTACCTGCCAGCCATGAAGTATGACAACAAGGCAACCTCTAAATGATGGAAAAGCCACAAAGAAATGGTTAGGCACATACCTGCTTCATAATTTAAGTATTCTGTAACACTGATAGTCTTCATCAGTGTCCAGTTTTCGCCAGTTCCAAGAAGTGTAGATGGAAACATTACCTGAAAATAGCATATCCTGAAAATCAACACCTCATTAAGATATACTTAATTCCATGGTGCTAATCAGTTTTTATAATTACAATGTTAATCATTATTGCAAAAATGTATAACCAGCCTGCAACAATGTTTTGTTTGATCCAGTGTGTAAGATTAAGGCTTTAGTAGAAAGGGTCAAATCATATGTGAAAGTATGGTAATCACTGTCAATAAGTAATGGAGGCAGCAACCAGAAATAAAGAAAAGAAAAGAAAAGAGGAGAAAGTAGAGAATAGAGAAGAAGAGAAAGAGAAAGGAGAAGAGAACTAGGTCAAACTGATTGGAGAATAGATTAGATGTCACTAATCCTCTAAACCAGTCGGCCCACTACTTATATTTGAAGGGATGAGAGATCCATCATATGGATGGCCGAACCCTGTAGGTAGGTTGGACGAAATTTCAAAAATTTCTCTCTCTCCCATCTGGGAATCACATTCCCTGTTTTAGAAAA